GAGGCCATCGCTATTAGGTTGGAGGCCGTCGCTTCTAGGTTGGAGACCATCGCTATTAGGTTGGAGGCCATCGCTATTGGTTGGAAGCCGTCGCTTCTAGGTTGGAGGCCATCGCTATTAGGTTGGAGGCCATTGCAACAAGGTTGGAGGCCGTCGCTTCTAGGTTGGAGGCCATCAGGTTGGTGGCCATCGCTTCCAGGTTGGAGGCCATCGCTATTAGGTTGGAGGCGTCGCTTCTAGGTTGGAGGCCATCGCTATTAGGTTGGAGGCCATCGCTTCTAGGTTGGAGGCCATCGCTATTAGGTTGGAGGCCATCGCTATTAGGTTGGAGGCCGTCGCTATAGGTTGGAGGCCATCGCTATTAGGTTGGAGGCCATCGCAATAAGGTTGGAGGCCATCGCAATAAGGTTGGAGGCCATGGCAATAAGGTTGGAGGCCGTCGCTTCTAGGTTGGAGGCCATTGCTCTAAAGAACTCACTAACTTCACAAACCTTGGGCATCTCACAGACATTTCCTTGCTCGAGGGCTTCGTAGTCTTGGAGCAGTTGGTGGATTTGGTTCCTTGGCGAAGCTACAAGGAAACGTGGCGGTGTGATGTTGCACAACCACCTCACAACATCTTATAACATGAGATCTGCCCACGCTCAATTAGGAAGTGTTTGCCAACGCTTCAGCTCCGATTGCCACAGTTCACTCAAGATTGATTTGGTGTGAACGCTTCAGGATTGACAGGTTGACCTTGTTGTTGGGGACTTGAAGGACTTGGGCGAGACTTCGGGGTAGCTGGAGATGTTGAACTTAAACTGCTGCGGTGTCCACACAGAAATATGTGTCATTAAGTTTCAGAAAGTACTTTTACATGTCAATATATGGTACTCGGTGCATATAGCGGATATAACGGGAAAACAACATATATATATATAAATAGTGGTTGCTTGTAATTTTTTGGTCTGAAGGAGTGGAGGAAAGCGATCGAAAACTTGGGTCGTACTCTCGTGTTTCAACGTGGAAGTCTCCCAAGTCTAGAGTTGCAAGAGATTCTCAGTGGGTTTCCTTAGTCCAGCATGCGTTCGACAGTAGGTGGGTGTTACAGTTATTGATGGGACCTTTGCAGAGACTGTCGCTTGAGCTGAGTGAACATCCTCGAATCAAGATAATGAGAGACGCTCCCCAGTCCTCAGGTCGTTGTAGCTAGACGACAGCGATGCGCCAAACTTGAACAATTGCCATGTCAAATCGAAATTTTCAACAAAGAACAACTTTGTTTTAAGACATTCATTTTATTGGTTGCGCTGGGTACTAATCCTTGTACGACTTCTTTTGCAGGAACCCCATTGGCCCCAACAATCCATCAATGTCTTTCCACCCCATCTTCTGCTATGTGGAGCACAAAGTGCCGATGCGCCCTTAGGAGAGCATCGAGCGGTTACGGAACTTGGTTGGGTCCTTAGTCCAGCCGCTTTCGAAGCATTTTTTCGAAGCACACACACACATTCCCCAAAGAGTGAAGATGAGTGAAGAGGGTGTCAGGCAGATGTCGATGTACAGGCTGGCCACGGTTCATTGCGAGCCTGTCGATCCTACTGTAGGTCCCTGTGAGTTTGAGTCAGCAGCTGCACAGTAGGTGGTTAACAGGATATGCCTAGGATTTGTGCGGGCTTTCATATTGACCAACTCCTTAACTCCTTCTTTGATTTTGGGCTGAAATAGATCATTGAGAATTAGTTTTGTTCTGAGTTGACATCCATCCCATGCTGAACTTGATTGGGCTGTAGCTTTATTCAGAGGACTGAGGCTTGAAAGCTGTATCAGCAACAGAAGAGCATGACCATCCAATCGGCACTTGTTGCACCAATCCGGTCGAGGAATCCCAAGTGGCTCTGAAGGTCCCCGAGGACATTATTTTTATGCAGCCAGAACTCCTCCTGCGAGGATTGGGCAAGACTCTGTTGTAATTGCTTGTGCTTCTTCTTTTGTCCTTGCTGAAGCACCTTAGAATTCATGTGTATGGATGACCAAGTCTTTGGCCAGTTGGGGAAGCATTGCTTGATATCCATGCAAGGAGAGGTGCAATTGTTTATTTTGGACTGTGTGGCAAGAAAGCACCCTCTTGCCCAGCAACACTCTTGGTCTTTGGGCAACCACTGGGGACTTCTGCAGTTTGAAGTTGGCAAAGAGCTTCAGAATGTGTTGTTGGATCCTTCCTTTCGGCCGAATATTTAGTACATTTTAGTACCATCGCTGTCCTTCTTCTACAGTTGCTGTGGACATCAGATAGCAATTGGTCCAGACAATGTCTATTTGTATAACATCTTATCTTACTGTACATAAATCCACACTGGCAATAGCTGCGCCCACTATCCGCCAACCTTGTTCTATGCCTCAGCATAGCTTCAGCCCCAGGTTCAAGGCGATATGGAGATGCTCGGCATATCAAAGACCCAGCGCGCCAGCTGTCCATTTCAAACATCGCGAGACTCGCAAACAGCCGAGCGGTGAAGTATGTTCCTCACAATGACAAGATCGGAGTTGTTGATCACAAGATCGGTGGGTTCTCCTGCGCCCGAAGAGATCAGGTGGTCAAGAGGGAATGGTGGATTCTCCCCGTCGCCAAGCCTGGCTGTCACCGAATGGAAATGATTGTTGTTGATGAGTGACTTGTGCAAAGTGTTGAAGCTCTTGGAATCCCCCTATGTCAAAATATGTGGGAAACAAATGAAGGCCTTCATGATTAGAAAATCAAGCGACCATAAAGTATCTTGCGGTAAAGTGGTGAAGAATCCAACATTGTGCGGCGAACGAACATATACTTCTCATATCTTCTCATCATTTCGTTGACATCCTCAGATACCGTCAATCTCTGAAGAAATGAAGGGATCCCCCAGCCTTTCTCATGCAAGCTGCAAGATGCAGTTTACTTTCAAACCCATTCATAGCGCCACAGACATAGATGCCAACCAGACGCTCGACAGACCACTCCACATCCGAACCACACCACTCCCAGATCCGAATCACGACACCCACGACCACTTCGACCAGGACCCTTTGGCCTGCTGGTCTGGTCGACTCGACACCCGTGAAGCCCGACGCAGCGCCCACGATGCGCGTCGTCGACTTGAGACTCGACCGATGTCCTCGACCGTCGACCGACGGGGAGAGCCATTGAATGAAATACCCTCGCAAAAAGACAGCAAGAATGGCGATCGCAGAGCTCTTTTTTTAAAGAATATCAATGTAACTGCTTTCACTGCTTTCAAAACGGGGTGCTCCACGCCCGTTACAGACGGTGCATGTGACAGACGCATGTGACGTCTACGCCCGAGTCCGGGCGTTCCCGTCCGAGTTTTGGGTCGGGGCGCGCGGCGTTCCCGTCGAGTCCTTCTTCTCACGTCGTTTTGGGTCGGTGCACTTGTTCCTAGTAGCTTCTTGTTACTACTAGTAAGGCACCTGTTACTACTATCTTGTTACTAGTAGCGATGCACTGGGTTCCCGGTACCACATGGTTGAACCCTGGCCCCTGAAGCTGTTTCACGGTGACGTGGATGATTCACTGCTTGAGCACTGCTTCTTGGGTACTGAACGGCTATGAACGCAGCGCTGAGGAAGGCAATGAACTTCGGCTATGGTTCCTGAGAGCAATTGTTGGGTGATGGCTGTGGCTGCGACTGTTGTTTCATCAAACATTGAAACTATAGATGTATCGACAGCTGTTCTAGCCGTAGAAATAGGATCGGTAGCTGTAACAGCAGGAGTAGCAGTAGCAGCAGCCATGGTATCAGTAGTTCTTCAAACAAACTCTTGTTTAGGAACATTTCAATCTTATCATTATTGGTATAATGCACAAAGTTGGTGACTGCGGCGAGCATTCTTTTGAATCCCAGTCGACTGACCAGATCACTGGAAACCAAGCCACGACGCAGTCACCAACATACCCAAAAGGGTTTGCAGGGTTCGAACCCCTGACGCCCCCAGGAACATGTCATCAAACCTACAAGTGGCTTCGTTCAATGGACCACGGAGCGTGTACACACCCATAAGAAAGAACAAGGTTTGGACACTGAAGAGTGCTCACTTCCTACCAATCTTGACATATTGTGGATGTGCATGAAGATAGTGATAGGGGTTTTCGTTTCTTTGTCCTCTTTCCGTGGCCCGCCGCTCCGCCACCGAGGCAAGTTCGCATATCTTCAAGAGCCGCTGCCCCGGCCCATGAACGCCCTGCGCGAGGCCTTGTATGAGGCTCTGGCACCAGCGGCCAATGCGCAGACACTTGGGTGCAGAGGAGTGGCTGAGTGGTGGTGCCGAGCTTTTCGATGCCGAGTCGAGCTGGAGATGCCGATGTACGTAGTGTGTTTGTAGTGATACTGTACTCTTTGTTTGTTGTAATTATAGGTCGTCTATATATAGTCGACGTTAATCACACATGAACATCATGGTCCTTTGATTCGCAAGCCCAGTGCTGCTCGAACATGCCCATTGCGATGGTCGGCACTATGTTTCCCTGGCCTCATCAGTACTGGGCACAAAAAATGAATGACATGCTTTTTGACACTCAACCGACCTCTGAATAGCCTCTTTTTTGTTGCTTCATGGAAAACATTGTCAAACTTGACGAGTGCATTCGATGAGGATGTTTGATTGGTGGACTGAAGTTGTAGAGTGTATAATGGGCATGACCGGCGTGACCGGCCTGAACTGCACGTGAACTACACGAATAGAATTACCTTTGTTTGCCTTGACCCCTGTGTTCAGGTGAGGCAGTCACAATTTGTTGCTAGCACACCTTCAATGATTTAATATTCTTTGGTTTGGACCTGTACCCAAACCGGAACTTCTGAGCCGGCGATGAGTCTTGATTCATCTTGGTTCTATTGGTATTAGTTTTCTCTCCCACCTGGGTGAGATGGTGAATTGATGGGTTGAAATCCAACCTCCTTCATGAACGAAATACATGCCTCCATTGTGGTGTGCCAGAATAGGCTGAGACCCGAGGCCTCTGCACCAACTAACCTGAAGATGGCTGTACATCAAGATTCTGCCACGAGAAGTCATTGCCTAAATTTCTACACTTTAGAGCAGGTTTGTATCAATTTCCCCACGCAGCACACAGACACGTATATATATATATATTATATATTAGCGCGATACAGAGTAAGTAAAATCCTTGGTATTGGGCGGATCTGCGGACCTTCGGACGTTGTTGTTTTTTTTTTTTGTGTGTGTCTTTTGGATGATTCAGACCATCAGGTTACGCGGGGCGTATCACAAGTCCTGGACCAACGTTAGGAAGAGAAAGATCGTCGTATTTGGATTGTATCATTCCCACATTCTGCCTATCTCGCTCATGGTGCTGAGGATTGAGATGTTCCGCGCGGAGGTTTCCCCCAAAGTCCTCGCGGTGGAGACATATCCACCAAAGAAGCTTGGGCAAGCCCTTCATGTACAATGTTCAAAGATGGAACATGATGGGACTATGTGACTATGTGTGACTACGTGTACAGCGATGATCCATCCTGTAGTACCAAGCAGGGATGCATGGAAAAGGTGAGAGTCTGGACCTCTTCAACCATCTTCAACTGATATTCATCTCAAGGACACACCGATCGACTGTTTGGGATCGGTCGATCTTGTGTCTCCCTCAGATCCCCCATGCCGTGCTTTTGGTGCTGCGGCACTACCCTGTTCGGGTGGTGTATAGACCGAATAGATCCATACCCAGTCAGTGGATATTTGAATAAGCTTTAATCGACTCTATTTTTTTAAATCTGTTTTGGGGATTGGGTCCCCCACTAACGATGAACAAGTGGAACAAGGTTAACCTTTATTGTTCAGGGAAACTGAAGAAGTCAAGACCCCCAGACCATGTATTTTCATATATGTTCCATTCAATAACTACCCAAAGTGGGTGGTGCTGGACCAATTTTCATAGTCGCCCTATCCTGTTGGGCTCGAGCACTGGCATCGAAATTGACGACGCACCGTTTCAACCCATTTGTTCACCGCCTGGTCCATTCTTCTAAGCATTGGGCAGTGTTTTGTAACTGTAGAGATCTACGCATCCCCTGAGACGGCTATTGTTTCCGTTCGAACTGACTGGGACACGTGGATGTCCTTGTTGAGATAGCTTTTGTGACGGGATGCCTGGTCAAATGAATCCCTATGGCGATCTGCCGCAACAAGGATGAGCGACTTCTGGGAGATCTGCCGCTCAGCCAAGCCGCCACAGCGGCTGCCGACTTCCATTTGCCTCAGGCGGGCGCATATTCTGAGAGATTTGAACACATCAGGGGCATTTCTGGGAGGGGAAAAAGGAAGAAAGTCAAGAACTAGTGGAAAACAATGGAACACATTGCTCTATTTAATTTTGCACACACACACACATATCACTCCCTATTATTATTGATGCTTCCCCTACTTGAATAGGGTCTCTAATTGGACACCCCTACAGGAAACACTGTAGGGAACAATCAGTTTGGTAATGTTTGTGTTTTGTAATCATGTTTTCGCCTCAGAGGCACCGTCTTCCGGTGGGCGTCCGGATGCAGCGACGAGTCCCGGGTCGGGTCAGGTACTGCCCCAGCGGGTTCATGGAGGCGCACCGAGATCTGCAACGTTCTTGGCTTGGTACCATCTACCCATCGGGTCCACCTACCCATCCATCAACCAAATATGTGTTTCTTCCCCCAATGTTTGCAAGCAGGATCGTGGACCGGATGGGCCTGTTTTCTATTTTCAAAAACACGCACGCAGAAGAACTTCTACGACTGTACTCTCTTTTCTCGACGAACTCCCTATCCAGCTTTCGCCAGCTGAGGATCGATCATGTTCCCGTGGCAGGCCATGTGCCCCCTGAGCAACCCAGGCGCAGTGGATGTTTCGGCCACTAACTTATGCAGGTGACTGAAGACAGCGGACTCGGGAGCCGTGGAGTTAATGCGACACTGGCATCCTTTGCATGTGCCCCATGGATCCGTCGTAGATCCCTTCAGTTCAGAAGGTAGCTTCATTCTCCAAAGCCCAAGCACCAAACCTGAGGTCTGTGGGTTGTTGTTTTTTTGGGGGATCCAGGGACAGTTGTGTCGATCCGTCAGAACTGGATCCTGGATGATCCTGGGATGATGGCATGGGATCACCCCTCCACTCCGGGACCAGGCGAAGACTACGAGGGTGGCGAGTTCTTCGTTCAGCCGGGCAAGAAAGATGTTGGACGACAGTATTGTCAGGAGTGTAGAGAAGAAACGCCCCTTGAATATGTACAGTAATATAATGGAGAAAGCCACATGAAAAATACCATATTATATTATTGGCTTTCTCCCCCATTCATTGTATTTAATTCTCTTATAAAAATGATTGGGAATAAATCAGGTTAAATGTCAGTCCCAAACGTAGACCTTCCATGCAGTGGTAGGCAAACGTCCTCCAAGAATGCAAGGTTAAAATGTACATGGAAGCCATGGGGTGTGGGGAAAGGGTTTTGACCCCCTCTGAAAGGCATGTTCCTGAGAAGTTTAAGTAGAAGTTTATCAATGCTGCCCATTGATATCTTTCTTTGAAGAAGCGAAGATCCAACTATATAGAGCAGGCAACATTTTGGAGTTCTCTTGTTTTTGAATACTAGGCAACAACAAGAAAGAAGCAATCCCTGCAATTACTCCAAAGCGTGATCATATTGGTGGTATCAGCAAGCTCCGATTTACTGGACAGTGGCAGAGTCAGAGGGGTTTTGTTAAACTGCCAATTGGCCGTCTCGGGGTTCTGTCCTATTCTGGATCAGTCTTTGTTTGGTCGGAAGTTCCACCATGAGAAGACGCTCTTTTGCAAAGCATATGTTTGAATTCACTACATCCCTGTATTTTCGGGAAATCGATGGAAACCGTTGAGACTTCACCAAAAAGGCGTCAACATCCGGAAACCTCGTTCCACCTGTGACGAGGAACTGAGCCTCTCGGTGAGGAGCTGTTCAAGGGCGACGTGGTGATCTTTCGGAGCGGCCTATATCATGGCCTGGAAGCTTTGAAGAGCGGCCAGCGCTTTGCGATGCTTAGCAGGCAAGATGAGGTTGGTTCGAAGAAGAAGAAAAAGAAGAAAAATACTGAAAAATATAAAGAAGAAAAATAAGAAGAGAGCTGAAGAAACATGCATGAGTTCTGTGAATCCAGGCTATATGTGTGCCTTTATGTCTAGAGTCTATTGAGAAGTCGTATCCCTAGGGAATCGTCAGGTAAGAATTTCAGTCCCAGATTGAACAGGCATAACTTTTGCAGTGGACAGTTAAGCTGCCCGAGCTTTTTTTTGGCCCAATGCCTTCTTCCCTGTGTCCAAAGTTTAACTGATACCCCGTTGCAGCACTGTAATTGTTTTTTGCCCATGTCACATGTCATGTTGATTAAAATCATGTTTGCTATGCCGGTTGCTTGCCCGAGTGTTGCTTTGTGCCCGAATCTCGGCGCATGGTTTCAGCCGCACATGCAAAATGACTGTTTTTCCCCAGGAAAGTTTGATTCTGATGGTCAAAGCCTCCCACATAAACCTGCCCACCAAGCCACTCCCTTGCTTGAAATTGAAACCGACACGCAAAGAAAGATCCCTTTGAAACCACAGAATCCCCACAACCGTCCTGCGTTTCCTTGAGGATCGCCATGCAGTTTGGCTTGTCCAACTTGATGGAAAGTCCGTCCCTACCCAGGAGGACTGCAGCATGAAGTGGGGTGTCTGAAAGCCAGACAAGTTAATTTTGATTTGGGAGGCTATTCCAGGGTAGAATGGGCATATATGCCTATGGATCTCCACATGCTTGGCACCCATCATGAACACCAAGGTTCTGTGAGGCGGAAGGCGAAAGGGATCAGCTTTCTAGAACAAACATCTTAGGGGCATGCGCGATCCATTGGACACCGAGAAGAGATTTCGCTCGAGTCGAAGGCTTTGAAGCGAAAACAAACAGGTTTCGTAAGAAGCGAAGAAGCACCCCCTCCAATGCCCCATGCTTCTTCCTGGGCCTCCCAGGCAATTTGCTTGCAGCAATAATTGAGGATCCCACCCATTTGAGGATTCCACCCATTTGTCCTCAATTTCCAGATCATTTTCTGGTCAATGCCGGGCTACGGCTTGTTCCATAGTCATCCATAGTCCCAGTCACTCTGGGACGTTCCTTCATCTCGAGTTGGTAGCGGCGAATCCCAGGCGGACATGGGGTGGGTTGCAACGGCAAGGACTTGGGAGCAGAAGCAGCAGCTCGCCCGAAGAACCTTGGCTGAGAAAGAAGGGACATGGATCCCAAGTTGATAATCTTCCCCACTGGAGGAAACTCTTGGAACCTGACTGCCGGTTGGTGGGCTGGGCAGCCTTAATTAGGGCTTAGGTTGAGGACTTTGCAATTCTGTAACTTTGGTGGGAGACACGAGCTATGGCTGTCAGAGTTTTGCCATTGGCAGTCCACGATGTGCTCAACTCGAGATTCTAGATACCAAGACACTGATTGGAGGATATTTCCACTTGGTTGTGCACCGCGCTGAAGAACCTCGCCAAAGCCCTGAAGGGGGTGATGAACGTGGGTTGAGGCAGGTCTAGGCGAACCATCTAGCATGTTTGTTCAGGTAGCTACGAAAAATAGAGGGTTAAGCTGGGTGTTTTGGGTGCTCCATCATTCGATCCAGCGAAGCCTCATGTGCTGACACGTTTTTCCATTTTTGTTTAAACAAAAACTGCCGAAGATGCCATGGAAATCTACAAACACCAGGTGCTCAGGTGGGCCAAACACCCGGGCTGACGAGACCGTTCATATCGTTCATCGAGACCTTCTTTTTTGCACGGTCACTCAGAGTGACTCACTTGATGAAAGGGCCTCTCACTCAGAGTCGCTCACTTTCTTTCGGATCTTTTGAACATTGTTGAACCACTTGCATCCGCTTGCGAAGATGCGCCCCCGATTCGTTGGTATAGTGGATGGTCGATGAGTGAAGCGGGAGTTTCGCCGCAAGCGCTAGTCCCCCTAGCTACTTGCCGGATATTGGATATTTTGTTGTTATTTGCTTGCAAAGTGCATTGCAAAGCGGTCTCGGTGGTGGTGGTTTCAGATAATTGTTAATAAGACCTCTACTTGGGATGATTAAGCCAACTGACTAATATTTCAATTGAGTTGAAACCACCAGGCAGAGTTGATAGTGGTCCACGTGTTCTGCTATCTTTTGTATTCTTTTGTGACCACCGGTGGTTTTGAGCCGCTTGCATAACCCAATTTGGACACTCTGCTTCGATCACAGGCTTGTCCGAAGCGCAAGATGCAGCTGATGCGACATGCGAAGAAAAAGATGGTTGGCCGCCACCAGTTGCAAGACATGAGCCCCTGGAGGGCCTGAGAAATGGGAGAGGTTTGTTTTTTAATGCTTTTTGTGTCCCAAAAAAGGTGGTTACTTGTCATCTTGTCGAGCTGCGGCACCCCATTTTTTTGATTCAAGTACTTTTGGGCCTTTATCATCAAAGGTCTTCACTGGGGGACAGTGAAGGGACGAGCTCAGCTTCTAGACACGGTAGGGAGCATCGTCCGGGAGCATCGTTGTCCGGTCGATGCGTCACCCATCTCACCCATCACACGCCCAGCATTTCCCATGCTAAGTAGATGACAGGTTATATACAACTTACAACCCTTTTTCCCAGCATTTCCCAGCAGTCCAACTGGGGGGCGTTTCCAAACTTACAATCCTCCCTTTTTTTTCTTTGAACACAGCAACTCGAGGTCTGGAATGTGAACCTTAAAGGTCCGCAGGGAGGCCCAGTGGGAGGCCCAGGAAGGGTGATGCGGACCTGTTACTGTTTAAGGAATGTCCCAGTGGTTGGAGTTTCGAGGAGATAAGTAGGGGGCATGTCAGTAGTCAGCGAATCGTCTTTCAATGGACTTTCCTACCATGGGATCGGAAGTTGAGAGGCCTCAGAATTAGAATGCACATTGACTTCACAGATTCTGTTGTCGGCTTGTTGAGCTTGGCCATTGTTGCTCTTGCTGTTGCTGGGAGAGTTTCATGGTCCGGCCAGGCATAACTCTTCTGTGCAACGACACATGTCCGAAGAAGCCTTTAATATCCTTTAGTGGTTAGTATCATCACAAGCATCCTCCGCTGGCAAGGTACCCAGCGTCAACCATCTACAAATGCCCATCCTACATGATGAATGATGATTTTACTCTTGATATTGAGGGCAAAGCAAAGCAACCATGCAGTTACCCAGCCAGGTGCAAGCAAGCATGCTGCCTGCAGAGAACCCCAATTTCGTTTGTGAGTAGAGAAAGCAGCAAGCAAGTTACCAAACAGCAAGAAAACCAAGAACCAGCATTTGGACTCAGTCTGACTCTTGTATACATGGTGGTTTGCTGCTTGTCCTGGTTGTCTTCTTGCAATTCACCCACCTCGCCGTCAGTCTCGGTCTGCCAGGCTGACCTTGCCCTTTGGCCGATTCGAGATCCTCTACTTGGATGACGAGGCCAGGCACCTGAACGCGAGGCATGGCGAAGCATGGCGAAGCAGCGAAGTCGTTCGAATAAATCGGTGTGGCTCTGAGGATGTTTAGACGCTCAAGACGAGGGGCATGGAGATGGCTGGAGAAAGGTCTTGTAAACACGTGCTTGCACATGCAGTCTTCATAGTCCCACAAGCGTCAACACAGGAACAGCGGTACAAAACAGCCGGTGGCCGAAGAAAGCAGAACAAAGCTGCAGCAGGACCATCCAGGACACATATGAGCTGGGATAGCCAATCTATCAAGACCAAACGATTTCCCAAAGAGCAGGGGACAGCCGCGAGGTGAGCAGGTGGCCTATGGACAGATGATTTTTCCTGCTCCAGGGTCCATATTCACTATGCCAATTGACGGCAGGCATTTGTAGACTGTAGTCGCCCTTTCAATGTATCGTCTTTCTGTGTTTTTTTTTTTAGGTTTTTGTGTTTCGCGTGATCGCGGGACCATGGGTTCACCAGGCGGTCTCGCATGCGACCCAGGGTCAGAAGGGTTGGGCCAAAGGCAGGCAAAGGCAGGCGCAGGCAGTAAGAGCACATCTGGATCATCAACAACAAGAACGCAGGAAATCACACGAAGACACCACCGCCTGGCGTTATAAGTTATAAACGAATTATAACTTCTAACGATGCTATGACCAGAAAGTCCGTCAAAGCGTGCTTTTGGGCCGCCCTGTCCACACCGTGAAACCATCGACAGAAACTTTGGAACTTTGGGTTCCCAAGGACCTCCGTTTGCTTCAGCGTTTTCAAGACGTTCCGCTTTGGATCTGCCGTTTGCCCAAAAAAAAGGCTTGGTGGCGTACTGCTCAGGTTCAGGTAACATATGTACCAATATTTCGATATATTATATACTGTAGTAATATTCATAATAAAGCTTTATCAAGAAAGCCTGACAAGCGAATAGTTTTGGGTGAACTCCGCAGAAAGATTCGATCTTTCCGTGTGAAACACTAGCAAAACTAAAAGAGCTCGTCAAGCAGATCATCAGCAGGTGAATGACATGAGGGGTGTGAGGTGGTCCGGCAAGGACCGCTGCGGGGTCAAGCCAATGCAGCAGGGCAGACAATGTATGCTTTGTTCTGGATTGTTCAGAAACAGTTTAGGCACAGGGCTACACTTGGAATTCTGATAGCACAGTGCTGCTCATCTTCAAAACTTACCAGTATATTTGTTCAAGCAGAAAGGGGGTCGGTGACATTGCTCGTGGTCCGGGTGTTCTACATGTGGAAGCTCACAGGACTGCCTGCAGGTGTTCTGTCTGCAAAAAAGGAAGCACCATTATATAAAATGGCGGATACACCTGCAGTAGCTACAGAGTATAAACCCACCAGAAACTGTACAGTAAGTGCTTTAGGCTTTAACACTTTCATCAAGTTTGCTTACCCACGGTCTGGCCAATCGGATAAGAATTCTTTCACCGCGAAAAGAGCGCGGTAAACTTTGATCTGGAGATGTCTTGGTGCAAGAGCATATCGGTCAGCACTCTGACTTGTCAAACCTTCAAACCTCATCATTTCATGTGTTTTTGCCTGAAAGGGTACTGAACGTTGATGAATGCACTCCCATCACCATTGCCATTAGCATTTACATTGCCATTAGCATCACCACATGTCAAGGGTAAATAACCATTACCAGTACCATTAGCAGCACCAGTAGAATTAGCATGAATTAGCATTGCCATTTGGATTCCCATTACCACAGGTCAAGGGTAAATGGAATCAAGCTGCCACAGGTCACAAGGTGCATACCTCCCACCTTGTGACCTGGGTGAATGGCATTCCATAACCATTGTCATGAGCATTACCATTGCCATTAGCATTGCCACACGGCAAGGGTGAATGGCCATTACCGGTACCATTAGCATTGCCATTAGCATTCCCAGTGCCATCAGCATGAGCATCAAGCCCCCCCAGGTCACAGGGTTAATGGCATTACCATGTTAATTACCACAGATCACAGGGTGCATGGCATCAAGCTCCCACAGGTCGGTGAATGGCATTACCACCACCATTGCCATTAGCATTATCATCATCTGCATTACCATTGCCAGGTGAAGGGTGAATGGCATCAAGCTACCACAGGTCAAACGTGAATGGTTGTAACAAAAGAAGGCTCCAAACTTCTGTGGGAAGCATCCAGGACAGATTACAATACCATACCCAATGCTAGACCTATTACAGTCCAAACACATCAAAAAAAGCAACCAAGCACTGGAAAACACACACCCGCATAGCGTCCCGCTCTCTTTTTGTTTGTCGCGATCCTAACAACCAGCGGGTGTCGCTGTTTGAACTTCTGGTTTTTATGTATTACAGCAAATAGCAAGAACCTGTATATCAGGATGGGTTGAAGTTTTGGGTCATTTTGAGTTGAAGTTTTGGATGGATTGCGGGGGTGCCATATAATATGTGGTTACGCAATGTGCGTTTCTTAATGTAATTAAATTACCGTGTTTTAGTGGCCCTTTTCCCAAATGGTTGTTTTGAACACTTTCCACATGGGGGTATCTTTCCACATGGACTTTTCGTGGTGGAATCTTCAATCTTCAATCCAGAAGGTATGCGTACTATGGCGTACTTTTTCCTGGCGAGTTCTTTCCAAGTCGTATCAGCTTACAGTTCTAAGTATCGAAACACTGTTGACTTTGTAGTGGTCTCATGGCATCTACATCTCCTAGAAAAAGAGAGGAGGAAGAGAGATAAAGTTACTAAGCGTTGTAGAGTTCATGAACTAACAATCCCATAATTCACGCTCTCTCTCTCTCTCTTTTTGTGA